GTTGCTGTTCTTGACCACTTCGAGCCCATCTCTCTGTCTTCCCTGGAGCAGGTCATGTGCGGCATGAAGCCATCTGGCTCCCCTTTTGACATCGTCCCCCCTCGACTCCTGAAGGAGCTTCTTCCTGTTCTGGGCCCTCCTGTTCTTGGCATTGTGAACAGCAGCTTAGCCTCAGGTGTGGTGCCAATAACTTGTAAACATGCTGCTGTCCAACCTCTCCTGAAAAAACCTAGCCTTGACCCCTCAGTCATGTCCAACTTCCGGCCTGTCTCCAGACTCCCATTTGTCGCTAAACTACTGGAAAAAATAGTGGAGTCCCAGCTGAAATGCTTTCTAGAGGATAATGCCATCTTAGAGCTATTCCAGTCTGGCTTTAAACCTCTCCACAGCACTGAAACTGCTCTTCTCAAGGTTTTTAACGACATTCTCCTATTCACAGACGCTGGTGATTCTGTGCTCCTTCTCTTACTGGACCTCACATCTGCCTTTGATACAATCGACCACGAGATCCTCATTGCGAGGTTAGAGCAGTGGGTGGGCATCACTGGGTCAGCCCTCGAATGGTTTAGATCTTACCTCGCTGACAGGTCCTTTTGTGTCTCCATCAAAGATTTTAGTTCAGCCTTGGCAGCGCTTAAATGGGGGGTACCGCAAGGTTCCATCCTTGGTCCTCTTTTATTTTCTTTATACCTGCTGCCACTAGGTGATATTTTCAGGAAACATAACATACCTTTTCATTTCTACGCCGACGACTGCCAAATCTACTTCCCCCTCAGACTCAACGGTACTCGCTCTATTCAACCGTTACTGGACTGCCTGGCTGACATCAGAGATTGGATGCCTTTAAATTTCTTGAGTTTCAACGAGAAGAAATCTGAAGTTATGCTGTTTCCTCCCAATGACACAATCACCAACCACTGCATCGACCTATCCGTTCTGTCACCGTTAGTGAAACAAAGAGTCACTAATCTAGGAGTGATACTTGACCCTTCTCTGAAACTCAACAATCATGTAAATATGATTGTTAAATCCTGCTTTTTCCAGCTGAGGCGACTGTCTAAGCTGAAGCCCATATTGTCCAGAAATAAGCTGGAGACAGTAATTCATGCATTCATTACATCCAGGCTCGACTATTGCAACTCACTCCTTTTTGGTATCAGTCAGACCTCCATAGCTAGACTCCAACTGGTCCAAAATGCAGCAGCCCGGTTTTTGACCAGCAAAAGCAAAAGAGAGCACATTACTCCTGTTTTGGCCTCCCTACACTGGCTTCCGGTTCACCTTCGAATCAAATTCAAAATACTCTTGTATGTCTATAAATCACTAAACAGCTCTGCCCCCTCCTATCTTACTGATCTGCTCCAGCCGTATGTCCCACCACGTTCTCTCAGATCAGCAGACCAGTTGCTCCTAACAGTCCCAGGAACCCGTCTCAAGCGCAGAGGTGACAGGGCCTTCTCTGTTGCAGGACTAAGACTTTGGAATGAGTTACCTCTGCTCGTTAGACAGGCCCCCTCCCTCACAGTTTTTAAATCTCGCTTAAAAACACACTTTTATTCCCTGGCTTTCTGCACTGTGTGATCTGTGCTGAGTCTGTGTGCATCACACTGTGTTGGTCATGTTGCAGTTGTTGTTGTTATCCATTAGTTTTTGTCGGTTTCTACTTTTTGGTGTCCTGTTATGTAATCTGTTGCTATGTGCTTGTTCTGTTTGTCCCTGTACAGCACTTTGGTGTGCTTTGTCACTGTTTAAAGTGCTATATAAATAAATTGATATGGTATGGTATGGTATGGTATGGTATGGTATGGTATGGTATGGTATGGTATGGTATGGTAGGAATAGTTACACAATGGCAGGTCAAGAATCACATGTTAAGATAGAAATTGTATCAAATGAAAAATATTCAATTTTAACAATTCATTTAAGGAAATGAGGTCAATTTGTCCTCTAGTAGTCTAAGTCTATAGCAGCATAACAAGCTGACCCTAACTATAGGATTTATCAAAAAGGAAAGTCTTAATCCCAGTCTTCAAACTGGATAATGTGTCAGTCTCACGGACAGAAACTGGAAGTTGGTTCCACAAGAGAGGAGCCTGAGAACTGAAAGATCTTCCTCCCATTCTGCTTTTGGGAACTCTAGGAACCATAAGTAAACCTGCAGTCTGAGAGTGAAGTGCTCTGTTAGGAAAATATGGAACAATAAGATCTGTAATATAAGATGGAGCTAGGTTGTTGAGAGCTTTGTAAGTTAGGAGTAAGATTTTAAATTTGATTCTGGACTTGACAGAGAGCTTTTATTCTGTCAAATGTTCTGTTTGATGTTCTCTTGTTCTGTCAGATGTTCTGTTTGATGTTCTTTTTTGGCAGCACGTCGGCTCAGTGGTTAGCACTGTTGCTTCACAGCAAGAAGGTCCTGGGTTCAATCTCCAGTTGGATCTGGGGTCTTTCTGTGTGGAGTTTGAATGTTCTTCTCATGCTTGTGTGGGTTTTCTCCAGGTACTCCTGTTTCCTCCCACTGACCAAAAACATGCCTGTTAGGCTGCCTTCAGGCCTCCTTTGCAAAAGAGATCTGTGATCTCAGTGGGCTTTGCCTGGTTAAATAAAGGTTAATAATAATAAAATAATGTTATATTGTTCTGTCAGACATTCTGTTTGATGTTCTGTCAGATGTTCTGTGTGAATTTATCTTGTTCTGTCACATGTTTTGTTGTTCTGGTACATCTTCTGTTTGATGTTCTCTTGTTCTGTCAGATATTCTGTTGTTCTGTTTGATGTTCTGTTTGATGTTCTCTTGTTCTTTCAGAAGTTCTGTTGTTCTGTTAGATGTTCTGTTTGATGTTCTCTTGTTCTGTCAGATGTTCTGTTGTTTTGTCAGATTTTTTAAAATGTTCTCTTGTTCTTTCAGAAGTTCTGTTGTTCTGTCAGATGATCTGTTTGATGTTCTCTTGTTCTGTCAGGTGTTCTGATTATCTCTTGTTCTGTCCTTCACCACTTGCTCTCGCCGAGATTGGATGCTTCTCCCCTCCCTCTCCGCTTTGCTGCTCTGTCTGTGAAACTGCTTCTGAGCCTCTCTTGCATCTTCCGAACCATAATTATGTGCTTTTCAGTTGGTCCCTCAACTCAATTTACAACATTTCTTCAAGAGAAGACAGGCTTTAGGCAAGCCGATTTGTCCTGTTGGCACGCAGCTGGATATCTCATCGACTGGAAGACTTCATGATGTGTCTATCTCTGCTGCCATCTGTGGATTTTAAGGATGCATATTTAATTGGATTTACGATAACTGGTTCCTGCTTTTTTTGGATTCGGCTGGTTGCTGGTTTTATCTACAATCAAGGAAGTCGTCTGCAGCAAATTTGGACCCGATCACACTGCTTGCCTTTATGATGGCTTGGTTCATGTCTCGAGTACCCACACTCAAATGCTTTGGGCTGAATGGATCAGATCTTTTACTCAGTCACGTTCCATCGGTGTGGCCATGTAATTTGGACATTTCTGAACCGAGTGGACCAACACAGACTCAAGGTAGATGTCATTAAGTTCTGCCTGTCCCCAAAACAACTGTGTGTTTATCCAAGTTGGCTCCCCTTGGCTGGCCTTGAAGGCCATCTTATCTGAATTCACCTGGAGAACATGTGATCTGACGCTCACCACCCCCTCCCTGAGGAATTTCCAACTGATAACCAGATGGAACCAGCTGAATAAACTCTGTGTCATCATTTCAGGATTCTTGGATTCTCATAGACGTTATTCTTGGCCATTCCTCGACATCCCTTGAGAATGTTTATGAATCTCACTGGAGGGCATTGGCTGATTATTACATCCTTATCAGAACTCACAGTGACCTCGAGAGCATCTATGATCATTGCTGACCGCTCTCATCTCCTCTGTCTGCAGAATGTCTACGTCACTATGTGCTTGTTTGTGCGAGGTGTTTTTTTAATATTAGAGGTTTTTTTCTCAGGCAGGAAAAAAAATGTCTGATAGGAATTTTTTTCACCTCCAACTCCTACATGTGCCCAGTTAACCACTTTTTACTGTCTGTCCAAACAGGTCTCACTTGTAAATGAGTCTTTGAGGCTCAATGTGATTTATCTGTTTAAATAAAGGTTGAATGAATGTCAGATCTAAAATGTTGCGTTTGATGTTCTCTGGTTCTGTCAGATGTTCTGTTTGATTTTCTCTTATGTCAAATGTTCTTTTTGATGTTCTCTTGTTCTTTCAGAAGTTCTGTTAGATGTTCTGTTTGATGTTCTCTTGTTCTGTGAGGTGTTCTGATTGATTTATTGTTCTGTCGGATCTAAAATGTTGTGTTTGATCTCTTGTTTTGTCAGATTTTCTGTTGTTTTGTCTGATGTTCTGTTATATGTTCTGTTTGATGTTTTCTTGTTCTGTCGGATCTTCTATTGTTCTTTCAAATGTTGTTTTTGATGTTCTCTTGTTCTGTCAGATGTTCTGTTGTTCTGGTAGATCTTCTGTTTGAAGTTCTGTTGTTCTGATATTATCTTGTTCTGTCAGATATTCTCTTGTTCTTTCAGATGTTCTCTTGTTCTGTCAGATGTTCTGTTGTTCTGTCAGATGTTCTGTTGTTCTGTTAGGTGTTCTCTTGTTTTGTCTGATGTTCTGTTTGATG